AACAAAAAAAAAAAAAAAAAAATTTAAACGGGGAATAAACCTACCCCCGCCCCGCCTTAAACGGGGAACGGGGCGGGGACGGGGAATGAATTTCTTAACGGGGCGGGGGACGGGGAGGGCATCCCCGCCCCGCCCCGTTGCCATCCCTAGACTTGTAACCTTTTCTCATTCTCACGGTTTTAACTTTCCGAAGTATGACAATTAAAAATCACACGTGTATTAAGAAAACCAATAAATAAAGTTTGTAAAAATATATATCAAATATTTTTCCGACAAATAGGATATACTACGGTACTCAAAATAAATAACTCAATGGCTTTGCTTAAATTTATAAAAATGCAAAAAAAAATTACTTCGTTTTAGCAGCATAAACTCATAATAATTTATATAAAATATCGTTAAAATTACACAAATTACTTCAACTACCAGGTATAAAATACCAATTTTACTTTACATCTTTTTTATTTACATTATTCTGGCGTAGATAAGTAGAAATAGAAAAAATACATACTTTCCTTACCAAAATCATAATCTTTAAATACCGCCCAAAATGACCATCTTCTGTATTCCACGTATTTCTTCCAACAATCAAGAATTACCACTAATAATATTAACGGAGAGTTTATTAAATGATTCAGTTAAATGTTTGTTGGTCAAATGACTTTCAATTACAAAATACAATAACAAAATAATATCAAATGTCCAAAACATCCTAATCATGGAAAAGACCCAAACACCCCTTTCAATCCAATCAAATTCCTCAATTCATCTTCAAATCGTATCAACGTGCTCTCCCTGTGTTTGATATCCTAAAATTTTGTTATTTATTATATTATTTACCTATCTTCTTCAATATTTTGAGCATTTGAACTATAATTTTTGTTTCTATATTATGTAATTGAAATTTCTACTATATTTGAAGAAAAAAGAAAGGCATTTTTAGAAATCTCATGTACATTGGTATTTTTATTGTTGAATATAGTATGAAATGATATTTTAGTTGATTTTATTTTCGCATTTGGTGTATTTCTGTGCTGTCCGCAACTATTGGATAATATGTAGTATGAATGGCACTCTAGCAGTTATCTGTAGTGAAGAACGACACTACAGTTGTTATTTTCCATGTAAAATGACAGTACAACTATTATCTGTTATAGCCTGTCCGTTATTGATAATACAATATGGTTACTTTCATAATTTAAATATGATAATTATTT